GTTCTTAGGGAGGTTGAATGTCCGGCTCCGTGCTGGGTAAATCCCTTTTTTGGCATCTTCAAATCTCAAGGCTTGAAGTGTCCCAGTCGCTGATTATCTTACTGTTTACCAGCTGAGAGAGGCTTTTACTCATGCTCAGTGAAGTGCTGTAGTTACCGCTTCCTCCCTCACCTTTCTTTTCCTTTCTCCTGTTTATTTTCCTTCCTTCTGCTCCCTTTTCTCTTTACCATTCTTCTTTTTTTCTTTACCATTTCTTTGAAAATGTCTTATATCATTATAAAATGTGCATTTGAGTATATACGTGATTTTCTTCTAGGCTTTTTTTTTTTTTTACTTCATTAGATCTGTCTGCCTTGGGCTCCAGCAAAGGGTTGGAATAGATCACAGAATATCAAATAATGGCAAAAAGAAAAAAGAAACATAATAAAGATATAGGAAAACATATTGGAAAGTTCTGCTTAATCCAAAGAAAGCAGAGTAAGGCACCTTAGCGTCCCCTGGCTGAGAACATACAATTTTGCTCGCTCTGCTGTACGGGGGGCCTGGTATGGAAACGATGGTCACACTGTTCAGGACTGTAATTGACTGATACTTGTACATCCACATTTGAAAGTAACAGTATTTCTGGAAAAGAAATACTGCAGGATAGAATGTTGGGAATTTGGGGGGGTGGAGGGGCGCGAAATTGATTAGGCCTGAAACTGCAAGCCTTGTTCTATGCCACGTGTCACTGGGATGAGGACTTTTGTGTGTCACTAGGATTAGGATAGAGACTATGGAGTAGACAATCTTAAGTAGCAGATTGGGCTCAATTATTGGAAAAAAAATGTTCTAATGATTATGATGTCTGAAAATTGGAATGGGTTATTTTTCTAAGCCTGTTAATTTCAGTCATGGGAAGAATTAAACAGAGGTTATACTCAGGACTGTGCTAACTTGTATGAAACAGTAAAGTAGAAAATGACAGCGTCTGATGGACTTCATACAAGTTGCCCTCTCTGTGTGCATGTCTTCCGTGCCAGTGATGTGCTTTTCGGGTCTTTTCTGGTCCTGGTTTCAGCCTTCACTTCCTTCCTCAGGGGAAGCCTTGTGCAGCGTCCTCTTATTAGAAATGTGGTAGATCAACTTTCTTAAGTAAGTAAAGTTTAGAATGGATTCCCTCCAATGTGTGCAGTTGTATTTCCAGATGTAACCTGGATATAAATCAGTGCTTTAGGTGACCCAGTCTTTACACAAACCACATCCAGAGACTTGTCATGCTGAGATCAAAAGTATTGTGCGAAGAATTTCCACCTTGTGTCTCTTGAAAAGCATTAAGTGAGATCCAATTTATAAGCTACACAATGTTCCACACAATGTTCCTCAAAAGACTCCTTGCTCAAGCCTGATCTCTTTTCTTCATACTTTGTAACTTCCCCGGAGCCTCTTACCTGCCACCCTTAAATTCTCTCTAAAGCCCAAATTCAGGAGGTTTTCTGTATCTCTTCCTTCTCCTTATTTTCTCCTGCATTTCCCATCTAATTTTTCTATTCTCCATTCTCCAAATTCTATAATATTAGAAAAAAATAACTGCATTGGAAAAAGAACTTTTCTTAGACTGTGAGAGAATTGGGAGAAGTTGAACAAGGTAGAATCTTTTATTTTCCTCCCAGTATCTCGAATTCTCATTCTCTTTCCACCTATTTTTTCTGATTCTGTAACAGCACGACCTGGAACCCAGGATGAGATAGCCTAAATGCTTTTTTGATGATTTCAGGAGTAGAAGTATTTATAAATTAATATCTATTGAGTGAATCCTATGTCTACAGTTCTTTCTACTAGATCCTAAAAAAAGAAGCAAAACAAATTATGTGAATAATCCCTGCTCAAAAGGAATTTGCAATCTCCTGAGTCAGACTGGATAAAAATCACATGAAATAGATTTAAAGGAAGAAAACCAATAAACAGTGAGAAGGATTGCAGCTCTACACCCGTGAATAAACTGAGAGTTGATTACATATCAGGGGCAGAACTATGGAGAGATGAGGGAAAGTTTCATGAAAAAGGTAAATATTGAGTAAATTAAATGTTTACTCAAGATATAAAGAACAAGTAAAGTAAGGACCATACAGCTAAGGAAGTTCGTATAGCTGGACTCAAGGGTCAAAGTAACGTGCAGAGAGTGTGAGTATACTCATCTGAGGGAACAGCCTAGGCAGGGGAAGCCTTTTATCTCAATGGGAATGCAACTCTTCTTTCTCTGAGCCCCCCTTTCACTTATTGTATAACTTGATTGTTATTTATCCCATTCTGCCTTGAGTTAGCTAGTTACACTTTTTTAAATTTTCTTTATGAAATGGCGACTCTTAGAATATAGAGGCAGTGTTTCTCCACTATTTCTCATTTCTCTCACCCCCTTCTATACCACTTCATACAGACTCTAGCACAGTAAAAACTTGCTGGCTGGGTACAGTGGCTCCCACCTGTAGTCCAGGAGGCTGAGGTGGGTGCATTGCTTGAGCTCTTGGAGTTCGAGACCAGCCTGAGCAAGAGTGAGACCCTATTTCTGCTAAAAATAGAAAAATTAGCTGGGCAGCGAGGCAGGTGCCTGTAGTCCCATCTACTCAGGAGACTGAGGCAAGAGGTTCACTCGAGCCCAGCAGTTTGAGGTTGCTGTGAGCTATGAGGATGCCACAATACTCTACCCAGGGTGCCCAAGTGAGACTCTGTCTCAAAAAAAAAAATCCTGTTGAATTAAATAGAGTTGACAGGAAACTAGACAGAAAAGGGGTAAGGGAACAGAGTAGGGTTGTATTCCTTCTGATTATAAGTTTAAACTTGATTTTGGAGATCACTGAAGTTCAAACATGTGAGTCATGTGATCAAATGAGGTTTAGGAAGAATTCTTCGGGTGGTCCATGTACAAAGTAGAAAATAGTAAGTTCAACTTTTTATTCGTATAGTTATTGAAATATGTTATATACATAGTGAGTAGTGCTGAATTTTAACCTATTTGTCAGCATTAAAAGTTTTGAGTAACATATTTAGCTTTCTTGAATTTTATGGGCTGGTCAAGTTACTCTGGGAATCTCATGTGTCTGAACAAATTTCTTCATAAAAATTTTTGGGAGTTTTGGTGTTGCTGGTTATTTGATTTTACTCTGGAGTGAAATGTTGGGAAGTTTTAGATGATATGCATACATCTGGAATGAGAAAAAAAGATCTAGAGTTGGACTTCCAGATTTAAGCTTAAAAAAGATTTTCGGAAATATTTGTTCAATTTTTTAAGAGTTTTTTGATTGAGAGTCTTCAGAACTACTTTAATAAAAGAATTTCTTCTGCTTCCTGGTCTTAAAATGTTTAGGACAGTTGCTGGCACTGATGTGATTTAGGTACATCTATACACACTCATCTTCCATTCTGAAAATCCTGTTCATAGGAATTCTTCATTACTAGAATTTAGCATAATTTTTTAAATGATTGAAATTACACAAAAGCTCTTGATTGGTGATTTCAGTCAAGTTTTCGATTATTTTTCTCATTTTTCTACCATAGATTTGAATTTCTGACCCAGATATGTTTTGAAAAAATATCTTTAGTCTTTATTTTGATTATAAAAAGTCATACATGATCAGTGTATGTACACCTCTTATTTCTTTACACACACCTATACACACACTGAATGGAACATATAAAACAAAGGTAAAGATTGCTCAAGCGATAGACCATCTATTTCTATAGAGTTGATTTACATTTGACTGGTGAGTCCACCTCTCATACCAAGGGGTAGGGTTAAAATGCTACAACTTAGTCTCTAAATGGGGTTCTCTCTGTAGGTCCAAACCTGAACTATTGAATAGTTGGGAAATTTGATACAATGTAAAACAATTGGAAAATGCAGATTCTATTCTGTAGATACAAATAAAGGCCCTCTCTGTTTTCACTGGATTTAAAAAGAACAGCAATTTAGCACAGATACAAAGCCAGAGATGTCATCTTTGGAAAACAGAGAACAACTCTACACTTTAATTTTAAAACAATGGGTAAAAGTAAAGCAAGAGGCCTTAGAAAAAGCCATGGGATTCAAGTACTTTGTTATTCTAAAGGCTTCCAGAAATCAGATTTCTAGTTTCTGGACAAATGGGCATTAAAAAGGGCTGCAACAAACTATATACATAGTAATCTTTTTCTTGGCTTCACAACGTCAGTTAGCATATTAGCTTTTTGGCTTGTTTCCACTGGCACAGTTCATAAATGTCTTTTTTTCTGCTTGGGGCCGAGAGAAGCAATCATAAAATAAAAATTATTGACAATCTGTTCTATCATAAAATGTAATGCCCCTTCTTAAAAAGAGGGCATCCACCCCTAAAAGTTATGTGAAAAGAGGGCAGCACCCCGAAAAATGGACCGGTGAAACAACAGTCTGAGCTATAGGTCATCTCTCAGTAAATTTCAGTTGCCATAGCCTAAGTGTGTGAATTCTATGACTTAGAGAAACAGAGAAAACTGAATGAACAGTTTCAGAGACAGGGAAGGTCTCTAGCCACAAATATTTGTTCATTGTGATCCTTATTTTTGTAGCCCATGAGATGAAATTTCAGTTTGTTTATGTGATTTGGTTACTCCTTTCCCAGCCGGGGCACTGGCTATCTGAATGTTTCTGAATGAATGAAAACCTCATCGGCCAAGGAATAAAAAAACAATAAGGACCTTTAACAAGGATCTGTCGTGTCTCAGAATTTCATAGAACTGGCAGTCGTCTGAGATGTTGAAAATATATAGCTCCCAAAGAAGGAAGCCCGGATTCTCTGAATATATTCTGCACGACAGACCCCTCCGGCACTTTTATGATTTTGCATAGCTCACAGGGAGAGACTGGGCAAGCGGGATGCTTCCTGGTTTCATTAGCATAGCCCAGCCCACTTCCAACACACGCCCAGAACTACCTCATTAACCATTGGGATTGCAGCCAAAAGCATAAGACTACAGTGAATATAAGGGGAATTACTGGCAAGAGAGCTGTAGACCAACCTAACACCGAGCCCATTACTTTTCCAAGATCAGAGAAAACACAACACTAACAGCAACTGCTTCTTGTTCAGCTAAGGATTTAAGGTTTAATCTATAGTTTTTATCTGGAGTAATTAGCGGCATCATAATAAGACCTATAGCCCAGCTGCACATATTCAAGGGCTTCTGTTAATCTCTCTGCCTCTCTCTCCCTCTTGTACTTATTTTCTGGGTAGCTTTGACATTGTAAACCACAGACAAGTTGGAGCCTGGCATTGAAAGGAGGTGTTCGGCAACAGTTTTTTTTTTTTTTTTTTTTTTTCTTGTTTAAAGAAGTTTACTTCTACGGGAGGAAATCTGGAAAATGACAGGAGCAAAGAGGAGAAAGAAAAGCGTGCTCTGGAGCAAGATGCAAAGCCCCCATTGTGAAGACGTAAAACAGTGGTGTAGAAGGCGGCTGCCTATTCTGGAATGGGCACCACAGTACAATCTGAAAGAAAACTTGCTTCCAGACACTGTGTCTGGGCTAATGTTGGCAGTTCAACAGGTGACCCAAGGTAACGTATGGCATTTGTTTTTCCTGTATTATGCAGACTAGATGTCCCTTTGCTTTCTTGGAAGAGTAGTGTCACCTTGGAAGAGTAGGATCCACAGTGTAGCTAAAGAAATGGGTGTTAACTTTGGGGACATAACATACTGGATGTCTGTGGACAAGAGTTTTTCTAATTGTCTCTTCCCCCGCCCACGTTTAGAGAGCTATTAGGCATCGAACTGATTTTTGAACGTTTTTTACATATTTGTGATGTTATAATTCATACTGTTTTAGAGTAAAAGATCTCAGTAATGGTGGGAACATGAGTTTTTGTAATGTGATCTTACTGATAAAGTTTCCTACTTTCACTGAATCAAGCTATAAAATATCTCCTGGCTGGAACACAATCATTCCCGAACCTAATTAGCAGCACACAATTACCTGTGGTAGCCTTGAGAGTTGCTATAAACCAGGAACAAAGCTTTCTGTACATAAAGACGGCGCTTGGCCAAGAACGTAATTTGCAAGGAGAATCCTGTATGTCCTCAGAGCTTATATTTTACTGGGTTTGTTGATTTACTTGGGTCTCACATTACTCACTGCATCTATTTCTCAGTAAGAAATTGAAATGAGTGAGACAGCTGATTTTAACTTTCCCAAAGCAGAATCTAAATGATAGTCTGGATTTAGATAGGTGTTCCTATTGTTGCAGCTGCTGTATTTTCCTTAAAGGTATATTCATTACAGTGTTGATCTCATTCAGATAATAATACTGCTACCTGGAGCAAGGAAGAGAATTCATTTCTTAGCCTTGAGACTCTGGGGCCGTTTTCTTGGCATAGACCCTACAGGTTTAGATTTCTTTGCAGTCTCCCTGCCTGGCTGGCTTCAACTATTACTCATACTGTTAAATTATAAGCACTCTCTTAATTAAATTATTCTGTAGCCGGAACAAACTGGTTTGTGCGTTTGTGTTTTTAGGATGATTAGGAACATCTGCCCTGGTGGCTTTCCTTGAAGATACATAATACTATCATATTTTACAGGATTCCATTTCACCAAATAGTCTGGCATTACATTTTTAATGACCATTTGCCAACAGCAAAGCACAGTAATCTTCCAGAAAAATGCAAAGTAAATAACAGGTTAGGGCATTTTTATCCTTGCTTTTACTGAAGTTTGAATTCAAATTGCAATACTCCCGTACCCTTGGAAAACTTAGGTGATGAACTCCAAAGGGCTTTTTCACCACGTAGTTTTGACATATTTTATACATTTATGTTGTTCTCATTTTATATAAAATGAATGAGAATTATGTTTTTAGCAGTTTTTTTTTTTTTTTTTTTTTTTTTACCTTTGGAAAATACCGGGTTAATAATAAAATTTGGGGATATGATGAACTTACCTATGGTACATCATCAGTGATAGTGTTTATATGTCTTGGGTAGTTAATTGTATGGCTTTTATTTAGACATAGATTTTGAGAAGTTTTGTTTTATAAGTCATGTATTTCATTGGTTATAAAGAAACACACTGACTGCCCCTCCTCCCTCTACTGGAGACTGATAAGAAGCCCAAAGCTAACTCCCCCGTCGTCGTGTGCTGGGAAGCAGAGGCCCTGACTGGTGATTCTCTTGGAAGGCTACCAATGAATGGATAAGGCTGTGCTGCTAGGAAGAACTGAAAAGGTTTTTGCTGGTCTGGAAAGGGCTAATCTTTTTAAAAGTTCTTACTCTTTTAGAAACAGTTCTCTCATCCTTTTTCATGCTCATCTACCATGGAGAGCTAAAAGGGAACTGTCATGAGCTATCACTTGTTGTCAGGGGCACCGTGCTAAACCTCTTACATAACCATTCCCTCCTACCCCCAGGAAGTCCTGAGAGACAGCAGTCTCCTCTCCCTTCCCATGCGAGAAAATGGAGGCTTGGAAGAGAAAGGAATTTTCCCTGGACCTCAAACCTGATAAGTGGTAGAGTCAGGACTTGACTCCAAAGCCAACACTCTTAACATTTTCACTTTATGCTCCACACTGCCAAAATAACCAGACTTCTCATAATACCAATGTTATTAGTAATAGAAGACATTTCTCTGGAAAGGTACAAATACCCTTCCCTTCAAATTTCTTTTGCATTCGGGTTTCATCCCTGCAGGTTTTAGACTCAAGGGCAAAGTGACAAGAAAAATAACTAGAGTAGGATATAGAGCTAGGAAGGCGCTTAGATATCATCACGTCATATTTGTGTGAATATGATAGTGGCAGAAGTGATTAGCTCCATTCCTTTGGGGACATTAGAAGAGAGAAGGGGTTATTTTCGTTCATGTATCGCAACACAAACAAAAGTAACCTGACCTTTCTGAATTCTACTGATTCTTCAAGCAGCTTTTCACCTTACTCAGCACAATTGAATTCGATGAAATTATCAAATTCAATGCTTTTTTGACTTACCTTGGTCAAATGTTGACATATATGGGTCAAAAAAACGTGAAAAGTTTCTATTATTAAATCTAGTAGATGTTGTTCATTCTTCTCTCTTTAAAAATATGTTTAAAATTAAGAATGATGAAAGCTAACATTTGAGTGTTTTCTATAAGTCAGGTATCCAAAAGCCATTTTAATTACTTTATTAAGGATTTCCTTGTCATTAAATAAAGAAGCTTTTCTGTTACCGGTATACCTGATTCCTGTATAGCACTCCCTGTGTTGCTTATATTCTTTCTAAAGCTCTTCACCTTCTTGGTTTTGAGTATCACTTATTTTTTTGTCCTGCTGCTGTCCGGCTTTTTCTTACGTTCCTCTGTAGATTCTACCTCTCACTCTGCCCCTTAAACATTAGTGTTCTGGAGACGCAAGCCCTAGCCTTCTTCTCTAAAAGTAGGATAGGTGATTTCATCCACACAAAATACCTTAACCACTGTTCTTGTGCTAATGAAACTTTCTTCTCAAGCTGAGATAGACACCCTTAACTATGCAAACCTAGCATGTTCTAAAAGCACTTCAAATGCAACACTCAGTCTTTTAAAACGAATGGGATGAAACCACCATCCTAACTGGAATTATCATAGTGATCAAAAATAATAACAATAACTTTTAGGCATACACATAAGTGCTATTGTAAGGGCACCGACATATATCAAAAGTGAAGCTCAAAGAGAATAAATAACCAGCCTAAAGTTGCACCGCTAATGAGTGGAGGGGGTGAGATTTGAAGCCCTATAATCTGGCTCCAGAGGGGATGCTCTCACCTTCCTGCTAGCCCACCTCCCGTTGTGAGTCCTGTAGTCATTCACAACTCTTCTCTCTCTTTTGTGACCCTGCCCACTGGCATCAGCCACCAGGCTCTTTTGTTTCCATACCCTAAATATCTTTCCAACCAAGTAGTCTCAGTTCATGGCCCCTGCTGCTGCCCTAATTCTCTGTCTGAATAATCACAGTCATCATCTTGTGAGTCTCCAGTCTCTCCTTTGTCTCCAGCTGTAAGGTTATATTCCACACTTCAGCCAGAATTATCATAAAAATCTGAATCTATTGCTTCCCTATACAGAATTCTTTAATAACCTTCCATTTCCTCTAAAATACAAGCCTAATTCTTCAGCACGTCCTGTTAGAACATTAATAATCTGGGAATCCTGACACAAAGCTCTACTCAAAGAGATCTCTCCTCTGAGAATCCGTCCCAATCTCCTGGGAAGGCGTATGTTTTCTCTTCTCTCACTCCCTTTGTGCTTTTCACATATCTCTATGATAGGTTTTAACACATTGTATTACAATATTTTGGTACAACTCTTTTCCCACTGGTCTGTGAACTCTGGAAACAAGGACAGTGCCTTGATCTTTATATCCCTGACTCCTTATGTAATGATTGGCACTTTAATGTTTGTTGGAAGAATTAAAATGTTATAGACTCTGGTGATGGTTCTACTAGGAAGGAAATCGAATTTAAATTCATCCCTATGTTTCATAAATACATGTAATAGAGATATCAAGAACAAAAACTGCATTAAAAACATGGTTTATTGATTTCTTCTAACTTCCTTCCCTCTCTCGAAGTCACAAAATTGTAGCCTTCTAGATAAATCTGGTAGAAGGTAGATTTCCTTTGTCCCAAACACTTTAAATTTTTTCTTTAGCCAACGTTAACCAATATGAATAGTTCCCATAAAACTCCAGATGATGCCTCGCTTCCCTTGAAAAAGCTGGGGAGTCATGACCATGTGGCAAAAATCTGCTGGCCCTTGATAGAGGCCATGCTTTTGCATTTTGCTGCATCCTCACCACCCACACATTCACTGTTGTCCTTTGTGCTATATTCCCTTTACCTACCTACTCCTTTGGGGGACTACATCTGTTTCCCGGGCTAAGACACTTTCTACCATGTTGTGTTACAGTGTGTTGGATTTACCTTTTAATTTAAAAACAAGAACAGACACACAGAAAACCTTTATTGAGAGATTATACAACATTAACTTCTTAGCCTAGACCCACAGAACCTTCATGTCTGTGAACCTGGACTACTATATTCCAATATATTTCATTTCTATATAATTCTTGCATTGTCTGCTACTTATTTTAAAAAAGGTTTCTGGGAAGAAGTCCATCAGCTTTAAGGAGACTACTGCCAAAGGGATGAGTGCCTCTTTTCAAACTAAATAAATGTAAGTATAGATGCATTCATTTCAAGGCAAGAAGGATAAAAAAAAAACAAAACTATAGCCCATATCACCATATTCAGATACTTCTTAGAAGCTATTTGTGCTTTTAAAAGTATTTTAAAAATTTGGGAGGTGTCACATTGGTTAAGAGCCTTTATAGTTTACGCCAACATTCTTTAACTGGTATCTTGAAGTCCCTCATTACCAAATGTATTTTGTAGGTGAGTGAACCTTTGTGGAGAATGTCATTGTCTTAGAACCTGTCATTGACATGTTTGGCAAGATAACTAGCCCAAGAGTCTGGTCTCTAGAGTATTTAGTTCATATTCTAGCCTGGTTTGCCACTTGGGGGAAACAGTTATTTTGTTTCCAACA